ACTTGCACGCGAGGTGGAACTGAATCCAACGCATAGCGATCGTCGTCGAGACTCGCTTCACAGTGCACTAAACCTTAAGTGTCTGCGGCGTCAAGACGTTGAAGATAACGATGTGAGTCCCCTGATTGAAATCATTTACTGGTCACCTTTTGTGGAGGTCCGACGTGATGCCGCTGCTGCAATTTCTTCTCTGTGTCGCAACAGTAGGTCGAAATGCACACCTCTCTTACATTTGAGCGCTTGGTTAACCACGCGTTGCTCTTCGTGTAGCCGCGAATCTCAATCTTCTAGACGAAGTTGGTGCGCTCGGTGCGATTATTACCATGTTGAGCTCACCAGTAGATCGAGAGGACCCGGGAAATTTACTCGACTGCGCGCAAGCGTTGGCTGCTCTTGTGCGTTTGTCCTCTATCAAGACGAAACTTCTTCAAGCACCAGGTGGCATCGACTGTATCTTCTCCTTGATGCATGCCGCAACAGATCAAAAGCTGCGACTGGCAGGATTCGAGATCGTTGCACGCCTGGTAAAAGCCGACGAGTGGCGGGACGCTGTTGTCAAACGTGAAGGCTTCGCTTTCATAATAAAGTGCTGTTCCGGTAGTGGTGCGCCACAGACTGCAAGAGGTCGTGCAGGTGATACCGGTACTCGAACGCTGGCTGCTTCTATCCTTCACCAACTTGCTGCTTCGTGCGAAAACAGGGTGCTCTTCTATTATTCCGGCCACTTTGCGACGCTCTAGCGGTTACTGCGTGATCCGTTCTTGGAAAAAGACACTGTTTTTCGTCGGGGGTTGTTGAGTTTCGTACATTTATTGCTCTCTGAGGTAGAAAATTCTCGTCAGTTTGCTTCGAATGGACTTCTTCCCTGTGTTCTCAGTGTACTTGGTCGTGGATCGTCATACTCAACGACTAGACCATCGCTTCAAGTAAGCCTGCTGGTGATTGCCATTCTTGACGAGGTCGCAAAGGACGACGTTAACCACGAAGCTCTCGTGCAAGCTGAAGCGATGATGTTGAAAGGTAAAGGTGCGTAGTAGGAAGCAGAATGGAAAGTGATTAGTGAGTGACCGTTCCGTCATTTATCCTTCCTATACTTACCCTCGCACGCCATCCGAGACCTCCAGCTGGTCGGCGCATCTCCTGAATCCTGGCGCCAGATTCATTGAATTTCAACACTCCTCCTCGCCGCCAGCGTTGGTCTGCTGCACTCCTTAGTGCAGGCCGACGACTGTCCGCAACTCCGCTAGTCTTGACGCCTCCAGAGCCTTTGTGAGGATGTCCGCAGGCATCTCCTCACTCTGCAGGTACTCCGGCTTCAGCACGCCGTTCTTCGTGTAGGAGCTCACGAACTTCATTCTGACGTCGATGTGTTTGGCCTTGGAGGATGATCCTTCGCCGTCGAGCTGCTTGAGCGCAGCCTGATTGTCGACACGCAACGACATCGGGCTGTTGAACGCGACGCCCAGCTCATTGAGCAACTCGCGCATCCCCAGCAACTCGGTGGCCATCACCGACGCTGCCGTAAACTCCGCCTCCATGGTGGAGAGGCTGACTCCAGTTTGCTTTCGGCAGACCCAGGACACGGGCATCCCGTCGACAGAGAGCAATCCGCCCGTGACGGACTTCCTGTCGGACTTGTCGGCAGCGAAGTCCGCGTCGCTGTACGCGACAACGTTCAGCGGCTCCTCCAACGGGCAATTGCCCTTCATGCTCAACCGCAAGGTCATCGAGCCCGCGAGATATCGCGCGATCCGCTTCCCAAGCTTCCAGTCCGACATCGTGGGGCTGTGTGTGCGGCGTGACACCTTGTGGACTGCGTACGCGATGTCGGGGCGCGTGCACCGCGCCACCCACATGAGGCTGCCCACGAGGGATTGAAACTTGCGGATCGTGATCTCGTTGTCGCCACCAGTGAGAGGTAGTACGTCCGCGGTCTCGTCGACGTCGTTGGACTCCGCCCCAATGGGCGTGCGCACGCCGTGCACGGACGACATACCGTGCTCGCGCAGCATCTCCTTGATCGCGAGCTCTTGGTCCAGATCATAGCCCGTCTCCTCGTCAGATACCACGCGAATGCCCAGGAACTTGTTGGCGGGGCCCAAGTCCTTGATCGCGAGCATGCTGAGCTCGCTGAAGAAGGCGTCGACGGCCTTCTGCTGCGTGCCCGTGACCAGGAGGTCGTCGACATATACGCCAACCACCAGCAGGGTGCCTTCGCAGGATCTATAGTAAACGCACATGTCCGTAAGGCTCTGCGAGAAGCCGATGTCCGTTAGCGTCTGGTGAAGGAGCTGATTCCAGAGGCGTCCGGCTTGCTTGAGGCCGTACAACGTCTTCTTCAACTCCAGTACCAGCTCGTTGTCGCTGGACACGCCAAGCAAGCACCTTAGCTCCTTCGGGACCACCATTCCGCGCGGGATGCGCAGGTATATGTCGAGCTCAGGTTCCTTCACCGCCTTCACGTAGGCGTTTGGCACGTCGCCATGCTTTGCGGGGACGCGCCACTTCCTGGCGAGCACGAAGATCAGCTTCACGCTGCTCATCTCGATGAGAGCAGAGAATGTCACGCTGTAGTCGATCCCGAACTGTTGCTCGTTCCCGCAGGCGACGAGGCGCGCCTTCAGTCGCTCGATGGCGCCCTCCGCGTCCACTTTGGTCTTGAAGACCCACTTGGTATTTAGCACATGGCAGCCCTCGGGCTTGCGCACGATGCGCCATACGCCGTTGCCCTCGAGCGCGTGTAGCTCGTCAGCCATCGCAGCGAGCCACTTGTCCTTGTGCTTTCTGCGCATTGCCTCCTGGTACGACTTCGGGTCGTACTCGACCACGCTGTTCACGACGTTGCGCGTAGTCTCCTGTGACTGCGCGGTCTCGTTCGCCGTGACTCTGGCATTCTTGGCCACGGAGCGCGTCACGTGGCGCTCGCGCGACCACGACTTCTTCTTCTTGGTCGACGTGCGCTTCTTCTTGCCCTTCACGTTTGGGGCCCCAGCCTCCAGCGCTTGAGCTCCGTTGTCCGCCGGCTCGCTGCCTTCGAGCGTCTCGCCGGCCTGAAGGTACAGCCGCTGCACCTGAAGGTTCTGCTTCTTGTCGAGCGTCTCAATGTTCTTGACGTGCTGCGTCGTGACCACCACGTGGTCCTTGGGCAAGTAGACCCGATAGCCCTTGGTCTCCTCGCCGATGCCCACAATCATAGCCGTCTGTGCGCGTTGCGCGAAGTTCTTTTTGCGTGGATCCCGGTACACAGTGCACGGCGACCCGAGCACCACGATCTCGCCGAGCGGTGGTGTCTTGCCCGTCAGTTCCTTCAGCGGTGACGCACGCCCTGGGTTGGAGTTGGTCGGGGCGCGGTTCAGGATGTACGCGGCGTACTGAACCGCATCACCCCAGAACCTCAGCGGGAGCCCGCAGGCGAAGATCATGCACCGCGCCATGTTCATGATGGTTCGGTGCATGCGCTCCGCCTTGCCGTTGCTTGACTGGTTGCGAGCCTCGCTGCGCTGCCTGGTCACGCCCGTTCGCTTGCAGAACAAGTCCACGTTCTCGTACTCGCCCCCAGAGTCGGTGCGGAGAATGTGGATTTTGCAGTTGAACGCCTTCTCGAAGTAAACGAGGAAGTGTTCGAAGAGCTTGGCCGCGGCGTCCTTGGTACGCGCCAGGAACACGCGGCAGTAGTTGGACTTAATGTCGATGAAGTTGATCATGTAGCGGTTGCCCAACCGATCCTTGGGTGTCATCGGCCCGAGCAGATGACCCCACCCACCCTATCGATGGGTGAGTGTGTGCCGGTGTCCTTCTTGGACCGTCGGTTCTTCGTTTGCTTGCCCTCGGCGCACGTGAGGCAATTGACGCGCTTGCGGTCGGTCAGGTGGATGCCCGAGCTCGGGTCCTTGGCAAGCAGCTCCACCGCGTCGTAGTTGAGGTGGGCCAGACGCTTGTGAAAATCCAGCAGTGTGCCCTGCTGCACGTCCCTCGGCACCTCTGCAGACTCCGTGAGCTCCCGGCTTAAAGCAGCCATGATCACGTTCGATGGCAGCTCGCGCCTCGGCTCCACCACGGCAGGCACGACCAAGACGTTGCTCCGCATCTCGACGTCAAACGCCACGCGTCCGCCGTTCTTGGCCGCTACGACGCGTCTTCCGGCACGGTGAGTCAGCTCGAAGCCTCGCTTGTCGATCATCCCGTAGGAGATCAGGTTGTGCACCACGCCCTTCGCAAAGTAGACGTTAGTGAGCTCCACCATTTGCTCCTCACCGCACGCTGTGACGCACAGCAGCACATTGCCGCGCTTGGTGATGTGTAACGGCTCACCGTTGGGTTGCACGCACTCGTCGCTGCACTCCTCCACGTCCTCGAGGAACGACTCATCATTCACGAGGTGACGACTAGAACCACTGTCTAGGATCCACAGGTCGGTAGTGTCGCTGGTGTGCTCGCCGACGGCCAGCGTGATGTCCCCTGGCTTCTTGAGGTCTGGACACGCTGCCCGTAGATGTCCGACACGGCCACACTCGTGGCAGCTCCGTGTCTCCTTGCGCTGTTTGGTGTGGTCCTTCACCACGTTGACCGTCTCGCGGCCCAGCGACTTCTGCTTGGTCGCGTCGGTCTCCCACGACTGCGCGAAGTGTGCGAGCTCCTCGGCGTGCTGCAGGAAATCGGTACGCGACTGGTCCACCTTGGCCATCAACACCATACGTAGTTCTGCGGAGGCGTACTGAACGATGTTGTATAGCACCAAGTAGTCGGCGCCGCCCCCCGTGGCCTCGGAGATGGCCACGAGGTACATGTAGTGCTCGGGTTACGATCTCTTGGTGTCCTTCGGCGCCGTGAACAGCTTCATGGCTTGGGCGGGTGTAATGTTTGTCTTGAACGCGTCCAACATCCGTTCCATGACGTACTGCAACGTGAGCAACTGGTTCCACCACATGTCCACCTGCTTGTTGTAGTACCTCTCGGCCGTACCCGACAGGTAGTGGCCGAGAAGGTCTACTTTCACGTCCTCAGACCACGCGAAGCCGCACGCCGACTGCCCGAGCGCCACCTGCCGCTCGAATCTTCTGCCCCAGTCCAGGAAGCCGGAGCCCAGCCCGACGTACAGCTCCTTGCCGTCGAACGGGCGGATCGCAAGCTTCTTTTGACGGGCGTCCGGGTATCGGAACGCCCAACCGCTGATTCTGCACAGGCGTGGCTTGTGCTTGAGCTGGTACCGGCGCCGCAGGCGGTTGCTGTGCTTCTTGATTAGCCTGGGCGGCGTGCTCCTCCGCGAAGAGCCTTTGCAGCTCAGACATGCCCGTCTCGTGGACCCCGACATCCGCGTGTCGCAGCCCGAAATACTGCGGGTGAACTGTCGGCCGGCGAGGGGCCTGCGTCTGCGGCGTGCCGCTCAATGAGTCGATGTGCATCCTCGACCCGCGTCCCAGGGCCGACGCGAAGGGGCTCGTGTCCACCATGAGCTTCGGGTCTTGTTTGGGCGTCTCAAGGCGCTTCTCGAGCTTCACCTGGGACTCCTCCAGCTTATCCAGTCGGCCGGCGACGCCGCGGAGCAGCCTCAGCAGCTCCGACGCCTCGTCCTGTTCCGTGGTCGCCGCTGCGGCGACATCCTGGTCGCCGTCTCCCCTTGCGCGGGCGTCGGCGGTGCTCTCCGCTCCATCGACGGAGGCGGCCCTTGCGCGGTCGGTCTCCGTTGGCATCTGGGCTCAAAACCTGTTGAAAGGTAAAGGTGCGTAGTAGGAAGCAGAATGGAAAGTGAGATTAGTGAGTGACCGTTCCGTCATTTATCCTTCCTATACTTACCCTCGCACGCCATCCGAGACCTCCAGCTGGTCGGCGCATCTCCTGAATCCTGGCGCCAGATTCATTGAATTTCAACAGATGACGCGGCTTGTCCAGTTGTGCTTCTCTTCCAATGACGTACTAGTCGGTGATGCAAAAGTCAAACGTCCACGTACTGCAGCAGTGATCTCAGGTCAGTCTAACGCGTCACATTTGCGACCACGTTCGGCTTCGTCTACTCGCCCTCGTACACGCTCGGCATCTATTTGGCCAACCTCAGAAGCTACGGTTATTGTTCGTGCAACACTTGGAATCTTCTGCGCTATGGCTCGCAACAACGCTAACCGAGAACATGTGATTCAATCCAAAGTGCTCGATCACATTACAGTGCAAAAGCTGTACGCCTCGTCTGATAAGCGTGTTCGCCGTGCTGTTATCAATCTTCTCTCACTCTTGATATCCACTGAGCGCATGCAACTCAAAGAATCCAACCAGCTCGAAGATGGCACGTCTCTGAGTCGACCGGCTTCTCCCCCAGTGTTAAGACAAAATTCCGAGCGCAACTTTCGACAGTACATCGAACTGCAGGCGCGTGGTGTAGTCAAGTGTTTGTTTGGTATTCTGGCTGCTGACGATTTTGGTATGAAAGTGGATGCTTTGAGTGCTCTAGCACAACTCACGCGCGACGCTACGTCCCGACTAGCGCTGTGTAAGCCTGCATTACTGACAGCATTGGGACAGTTCGCCTTTCATCCACTCGCTCCCACGCGACTCCATGTAACTCAGATTATCGCCAACTTCGCCGAACGACCAGAAAATGTGTTGAAGCTCGTGGATGTTGGGCTCTTGCCTGTGCTTGTAAAATACGTGAGTCCGTTGAATCGAGCCCATACAGTTGGTCATAGCAGCGATAAAGGTGTAAGTGAAGCCTTACTAATTGAGGCCACTCGAGCTTTGGCAGCCATATCGGAGCTGCACGTAGCACACTCAAGGCTAGTGGAGAGCGGAGTATTGGGTGCGTTGATGCAGCTGATACGAGCGTCTTCAAATCGCTCCGAGGTCCGGTCCTACGCTCAATCTGCTGTTAGCAACCTTTGTCATGATGCGGCGGCATTGCGCATCCAGGCACTCTACCGCGGCTGGCATGTCCGTATGACTTTCACATATGCATTTCACACAGAATTTCCACAATCTCTTCATTAAGCAACGTTAAAACTGCTTATCCTTGACATTAAAACACGGATAACATGCGCAAATTTGACTGAAGGTAAGAATTTTTCGATGCTGCATCGTTAGGTAGATGTCCAAACAAAACTAAGCTTGGTACACACGCGTTTCCACACGGAATCGCACGTCCGTCAATCCGGTGATACCAGCCGTAAGCACCTGAACGCAGCAAGGTCATAAATGATAACAAACAAAATACAACAAATTCTCCAAATGCAGAATCGTACGCTGCTGGGCCAACTCCTTCCGGGGTGCCCGTGATGAGTAGGTCTCCTTCTTCCAGCGTCATGATGCGGCTCACGTAAGAGATCAAGAAAGGGATGTTATGCACCATGTCACCAGTGTAGCCGTTCTGACGCAGCTCGTCGCCCACCTTCAGCCACAGATTGAGATCATGGGGCGAAGGCACCGCAGACTTCGGGATGAAGTCGCTGATTGGCGTGAAGGTGTCGAGGCCCTTAGCGTGGGCCCATGGCAGTCCCGCTTTCTTGGCTTTGGCCTGCAGGTTGCGCGCCGTCATGTCGATCGCCAACGCCTGGTAGTGATCAAATAAATCGCAAGTCAGTCGATCTCCCTCCATTCGCGTGTCGTAACTGGGCGTACGTAGCCGGCGATGTGGTCCATGCTGGTGCTCTCGGCAATATCTTTTCCGCCCTTGCCGATCACCACCTACAGTACAAAGTCACCCATGTCCTAGTCATGATAAGGCCGAAGTACTTGAGGTACAATACAATCTAAGAAAAAGCGGAAAACGTGCGCCGAGCTCCACTTCGTTGATGCACCACCCCAACTCCAGGGGGTAGCAGCACACTGCCGCCGTTGCGCACGTAGCTGATCGGTCACCACAAAAATGTTTAGTATGATGTCATAGCACTGATCGTGGTCGACTAATCGTTTTTACCTGGGGGTGGGCTTGAGAAAAAGCACAGGGTCTTTCGGGGCCGAGGCTGCGCCCATTTCGCGCGCGTGTGCCTCATAGTTCTTCCCGACCGCAATGATCTTCTTGCTGTTGGTAGATAAGGGACATTAGTGACATGTGAGTAATGAGGGCGAAACACGGACTGCAACACACCCGAACTCGACAAACTGCTTAGCCCTCATCGTTGTGGGGAACAGTGTTCACAAAATGGAATTTGGATTCTTTGGGGTTTGGGTTTATTAAACGACCTACCCACCCAGTGATTTCGGGTTTATTGGAATATATCAAAGGGTAAGAAACACTGCGATAAGCACTGTTCTGATGCCCGCAAAGCTCCGAGGCAAAGCAACCAATGCATGTCAATTGTAAAATACAAGCAGGTTTGGAACACAATGTGCATGCCATTCACACTTTTTCACTAATAAAACTGAACATTACTCATTCGCCCTCGGCACTTGAAGCGTTCAACGTGGGGAACGCCTGAACTGGAGTTAGTGATCACGCTACTGCTGGAGTGGAGACCGCTAAAGCTTGCTTATTTTTCTTTTTGTAAAATGAAAAAATGAAACTACGTATTTAAGTAGTAGTTTATTGCCTTCTTAGTATTTAAGCAAGCGAAACCAATTTTTCAGCCGTGAGTCACCAGTACCGACAACGGAACAAAGATGAATACACTGGAACACATCTAATCAAAATTCGCCAATTATGCCCCATTATTTCAATCGTTTTAATGCAAACCTTGGTACCTTTTGTCCTCAAGTACCGCCCACTCGTCAGGGTAGTCAGCCGCAAGCGGGCCAACGTCTACGAGTCAGTGGTTACCTTCAGCCTTTCAGCGAATAGACTGGTGGAAGGACTGATTAGTCCTCCATGTTAGATCAGACCACTACGTTGGATATCAGGTGGGAGCCGATAGCTGTAATGGGCCCCTCCATTACATAAGTAGGTATATTTCTTTACAAAAGTAGGTGCATCAGCACACGACTAGCGTGTGCTGAAATGCTGTCATGCCATTGGCTGATATATGGGGAGCCACCTATTATTAGCCAATTGGACTATGACGTGTATTTGAGTGGCCAGGGCTGTGGCCTTGGTCCTAAAATAAAGTCAGAGTTGATTTTTCCTTAAACCTAAGACTCAGTCGTCCTATTGCGAGCTTCCTCAACACTATAGTGTAAGCAAGTAACGGAGTAAATACCTGGCCCGTTACACCTGGTAGCACTTTGTAGTCCTTCCAACGACCAAGTTCGACATGATCCAAGACCTCGACCACGCTGCCTTTCTCCATCTCACTCGAATCGAGTGGGAAGCTCTCCACCGCCTTGCGGCGGTGTCCGGAGAAGCCGTCGTCACGTCGCTGCTGCGCTCAGCGACGCCCGACGAGCAGCGCGTTGCGGCACAAGAATTCATGGAACGCGAGCTCGCCGATGCGAATCGGCGAGTGTCAACTCCCTCGCGTATCTCCACGAATGACGTCGTGAAGCTAGAGACGTCCACCTACTCCGGTGCCGGAGAAGATCGACTTTCGCTGAATCGCTGGTTTCGAGAGATCGACATCGCCTCGAGGTTGATCGAGGGCTCCTTCCCCGAAGGTCCATTTCCTCCTCTCGCGGCTGGTCTGGGAAAGCCAAGGATTGGGCTTCTCGGCAAGTTGGTTGTCGATCCCAACGTCTTCCCCACTCTGGATACCCTCCAGAGTGAACTTCGGCTCGCGTTCGAGCCGCCGCAAGATGAATCCCGAATTCGGGCAGACTTCTTTCGCCCTTCGGCAAGGCACGATGACTATGCGCGACTACGTCCAGAAGACACGACACCTCGCGTCGTGCATCGTGTCTAAGCCGATCGATATGGCCTCTCAGGTTCATGTATTCGTGTTCGGTATGCGCGAAGGCATGACGCGCTACTGCCTTACAAGATCGGACCCCTCTACGCTCGAAGAGGCATTCGCCCTCGCCCTACGCGAGGACTACGTGGTTGCGGCGTCATACGCTCACGCGCTACCTGCTTCTGCTCGGGATTCTGCGCCCGAGCCCATGGACATCGACGCTATCGATGCGACGAGCAATCGTCAGCGTTATGCAGCGCGTCGGAGCGGTGCTCGGAACAATCGTTCTCTCACCTGCTTCCGCTGTCGGAAGGTCGGTCATCGCGCGGCGGAGTGCCGCGCGCCAGCTCCAGTGCTTGCGCATGTCGATGCCGAGCCCGTGAGTTCTGACCAGCCAAAAAACGGTCAGGGTCAGTAGGTGCGGGGCGCCCTACTGGCTGGAATGGAGGTCCGGGTCCCCCGGTGGCAACCCAACCTCCTAGCCCTCCTGTGCTGCATGCACACTTTCATGCCACCACCACGCCGAGCGATTCAAGATTGATCATTGTCAGTCTTCATGTCGCCGGTGCCCGCCGACCACTGCGAGCGCTCCTTGATTCAGGAGCGACCAACAACTTCTTCCGCGCGTCGTGCTTGTCGGTACTCCCGTCGGACATCACTGTCCGCAAAGGTAGAGGGGAGGTCGCTGTCAAGTTGGCCGATGGGAAATCACGCCGCGGCGCGCGGCGCGAGATTACCCTTCCGTACACGTTCGACGGTTTCCGAAGCAACGACGACTTCCTCGTCATTGAGATGAATTACGCGTTTGACTGCATCCTGGGTATGTCGTGTCTGACGCGCTATCAACCAGAGATTGACTGGTTGGCCCGGTCGGTCAAGCGCCGCAGTGATTATGATGTGAGCGAGGTGTTCACGCACCTCCTGGTCGCCCAGAAGGATTGGCCCTCACGTCACCGTCGTGGACCGGTCATCCACGACGCACGTTGTGCACAGAGTGAGCGATGGCCCTCTCTGCACGGCTTGCGCAGTGCTGTTAACTGACGAGTCCCGCGGCGACGCGGGGATGAAGACCAAATGGCGGTCGAGCAGGGGCTCCCGCAGATGTACGAGACGGCGGTCGAGCAGGGGCTCCCGCAGACGAATGAGATGGCGGTCGAGCAGGGCTCCCGCAGACGAACGAGATGGCGGTCGAGCAGGGGCTCCCGTCAATTGAGCCGGTGGTCGAGCAGTTGGCGCTCCCGCTGAACACTACCGCGGTCGAGCAGGGGCTCCCGCTAGAGGGGGGTGACATCTCGTCCAGCGAGAGCGACTCATCATCCTCGAGTTCGCACTCGAGGCGGCGAAAGAGGAAGTCGAAGCGGCGTCGGCTGAAACCTCGCCGAGAGCCCGAACCAAGTGACAGCTCACCCGACGGAGTCGGTCTGCGTGCTTGAGTATGTGGAAGGTACCTCTGGCCGCCGACGAACACTCGAGCTTGTAAACCCACCTAGCGAGGCAGGGTCGATACCTCGACTCCCAGGCCTCTCCTGGAAGAACTTCCTTCGCGGCCTCAAGGACGATGAAATCGAACAGGTTTGCCTGATCGCCGACGCCGATTCGGCGTCGCCCGAAGTGAATGCAGTCAGTGACGGCGACGCTCCCTCGCGCCCAAAGAGCGCTGAGCCGAAGTCGGCGCGCG